GTGCGAAACACATGCGTTGTTCACGAAAGGTCTCTGAGCTGAAGGATCATGCAGACGATGTGGTCACTTCCTCGGGTCTCGAGCTTTGGCATTTTGCAGCCGTTGTGGTCGCGACAAGGCCTTGCTTCAGGTGCTTCGTACCTTGTTGCCTGTTGCAGTCCTGCTTTAATCTGGGCTTCTCCTGATTACGACGGTCTGAGCTCAGCTAGTGGCAGTGCTGCGTATGCATCCCTTGGCCTGGGGTCACATGCCATGCGAGACCATCCTTGCTTGTGAGATGACATGTTTTCAAGTTTCGTTAGTAGTGAGTGGGTTCAGGCCGGAAATGAGACGGAACGAGAGCCAGGGCAGCCATCTTTTTCGAAGTGCTTGCATTTGATTGCACCCAGAGCAGATGATCCGAGCCCAGGCATTGACCATCACTGCTTTGTCAGATTACATGCTGGCGCTGTTTGCATTCTGTTGGCTTGATGACCAACGAGTTATAATCATGCTGAAGAGTGGAAAGTCCGCAACATTTTTTGCAGTCGATGTCTTTTATTGCTCGCGCGACACTTCAGCTTCATGTCGTCGTAATGTAAGGCTTCGTAGAAGCCATGTTGTACGGGATTGTGCGGGGCTACGTGATGCCGCACGTAAGACAACACTTGGCCGCCGGTACGGCGCATAAGTTGAGGCATGACAGTGTATTGATGTTCGTTCGCTTGAGACATTCCGCCCCCTTTAAATGGGAGCATCCTAGCGGTCCTAGCGGGAGTCGAAATGGGTATTTCGCTGAGGTGGGGTTCGCTACGATACTGTTATTTGTGCTTCTGATGCCCACCTGCAGCGTGTAGTCCGGGACGAGCGGGGATGAGTTCTCTTTTTCTTGCACCTTTGTGGTTACGGACTCCTGGGGTTGTGTCATGGCTGAAGCTCAGCTGTCTTCGGCCACCGGGAGACCTTGTTCAGGCAGCAGCCTGACGGCTGACTACACAGAGGGTAACGAAAGTGCCCAAGAGGAAAGTCGATGGAGTTCGCGAACCTTGGGGTAGGCCGTTGGCCAGGGGGTCTTCCCCCATACCTCCTAGAGGCCTCGCAAGCACGGAAAGATAGAGAGAGAAAGAGACAGGGATAGTGCGCAACGAGGAGGCAAAACAAGGGGTGTTCGACCGGGAACGCTTGTTCTACGATTTTGCTTCGGACAGTCATGATAACATGTGCGGGTTGAATAATGGAAGGCAGCTGGACAGGGCAGATGAAGAGTATTGGGAGGGGTGACACTGAGCATCCGTTGCTCTGGCACACACAAACCCCACGTCCTCGCTGGCTTTCCTCGAAGTTTCCGGGCGATATTCAAGGTCGAACCAGGGCATGCGCTCGTGCCTAACAGACTAGCTAGGATCAAGCCGTGCGGAGCCCATGTGTCTTTGCCCTCCGGTCCTTGAGTTTGCCACCGAGCCTGAGCTCATATGCTCCCACAGTCACCATCTCACGAAAGAGGATCTTGACATCCTGGTGCCGGCCACTGGCCACCACTCCTGAAGTTGCCTGGACTGTTTCCCGGGCTCGATTGGTTTGCCAGCTCGCCTCGAAGGGTCCGGCTCGGGTTGTCGCTCTCGTCTCGGCGGTGCGGGAAAGAGACGGCCACAGGACCCGCCTGCTCCCTGAAGCGACCCTACTCGGCGATTAGGGACGAGGAAAACCAAACTTCATTTGGACATAGCAAATAAGGGGAATCACAGCTCGCGGTGCGCTTCATAAGTTGACCGGCGTTTCACATACATATGCATGCATTCCAACATATCCATACGATATAAACCTGCCATACTGCCACTCCCCGCTTATTCCCAAGACATAATCCTGCCATACTGGTCCTCCAAGCCTTGTAGCTTTATCGCTCCAGTAGATTCCATGCCCACTTGAGCACGCATGCCGATGTTTTGGCAGCCCAACCATGCAAACGAGGAAAACAACCGGAACTTGCTCAGAGCTCAAAGTGAGTTTGAACAAAACAAAATCATTTTGTGCACCTGGAACGTCGCCAACAGCTGTTGTCTTGCTTTGGTTGGTCTGTTTACTTTCTGATTGAATTGAACCTTCAGGGCGGCGTCGCCCTTCTTTTCCGCTCAAGCAGTCAACACAGTAAGATGCTCACTGGTATGTGATGATCTTCCCTCTCTGATGTGACATAGGTTTGGACTTGCGGGTTGACTAACCGACTATGCTGTTGCATCGCGGTGAATGTCTGCATCCTGATGTGGTTTTACAGAGTGTTTTGATTTCCAAGGCCGTGAACTTGCGGTATCACTCGCGCCAGGCAGCGAAAGAAAGGCACGCTGCTCATGCGTACTGTGTGCAGCTGTACACGAGTGCATGGAGAGTTTCAGGCTTCAGACTATGTCAGCAACTCCAGCATCTTCCACGATGGTGAGTGACAGCCTTAGAATCTGCAGTGGAAAAGTTTGTGACTGTGTATATCCACATCTCATTTGACAAGCTGTGGATGGACCGCTCGAAGTTGCCGTGATGCTTCCATGGGTTTGAGTGGTAACCACGGGGGAAGTTTGGAGCTTACGCCGAAGTCTTCAAGGCTTGGGGCGGCTCAGGTCAGTCTGCAGAAGCGACGCCATTGATGGAGACCGTGCTGCCCTGGGCCTCTAATGTCGTCGCTTTTTTTTCGTGAGTGTGCTGGCCGCGACCAAATAAAGCCGAAGTGGCCCTTGTCCATGAGCACATGTCTGAGCATGCCAGACGGCTGACGTGCTCAGGGGGTGCGCAGCATGGCCCAACATTCGGCTGAAAGTAGAAACGCTGCCGGTGAAGTGCAAACTTAACCAGCAGGACGTCAGCCACCGGGTTTGTACAGCATAGTAATGCCGAGGTGGAGTCGCTAGACCAGGCCAGGCCGAGTTATGCATTTGGCGACGAGTGTGCATGTTCATCCAACACACCTGTTGTTGTGCAGTTCTTGGTCGGGAAGGCAGATGCAGATGCGCTAAGAGCTTTGGCTGGAGACATGCGCTGGATTCCTAGTTGCTTCATCGTGCCGCGCTTCTCGCTTCTGCACCTAGCAAAATTTGTAAGGTGATGTTGCGAAGAGGCTAATGGATCGATCTTCGTGCGAGCCTGAGTCCCTCTTGATGTTGCAATGGCGGGCATGATGCTGGGCTGCGCTGGCAATCAGTGCTGCAGGTATAACATCGGCCAGATAAACTTTTGGAGGGTGCGGAGCCCAGTGGCTCCCGTGAAGGCACAGCTAGCGCAGCGCTAGCGCAGAGCTCACGGCAACGAGTCGTGCTGAGAGTTTGTTGTCTGCTTGAGAACCCAGGTGGCCTGGGCCGCAGCATTCCAGATGGCAGGCGTGGCACTGTGGGTCCAGCGCTGAGTGTTGGCGGAGCCACACAAACTCATGCACCAACCTTGGACGTCCCGATGAGGTGCCCGCATCACAGGCTGAACTGGAGCCATGCAGGGCTCTCGGACCCGCTCAAGCCACACGATGCATACGTTTTCTCCGGGTGTGTCGCGTTGCAGATATAGCAAGCTCATGAACCTGAGCAAGACCCGCAGAACAAAAACGCAGCCAGGCAAGTCCAAAGCAAGGCATGGCCCAAGCCCGAATGGGCGTTGATGCTACAAGCCAAGAATGCCAAAAACCCAATTCTGGGGATGTGAAGCCGCGGAGTCCTATGCTGAGTCCCCGTTGCTTCGGAACAGAGGTTTCGGCTCTGGTAGAAACTGTAGAGGTCAGCGAGCTCAGGTTGCAATATCGAAACAGATCATGATGTTTTCGAACCTAGTGCCGAGACGTTCGCCCTTGGTCTCCTTCAAGCAAACTCTGCCCACATGCTTTTCGCATCCTAGTGGCTAGACCAGCATTGAGGAGTTGCCACTGCACGCAAGAAACACACATACCGACTGGTACTGCGTTCTTGTGACTTCTGGCCAAAGTCAACTTGTCGGAGCCGAGCTACAAAGGTTTGCATCAGACAGACCGCTGGTCCGTGGCCAATCATCTGGAAGGATTCTCAGACAGGGCGGCGGCATGTCTGCTGGTGTACAAAAACCCGACCTCACAGACATGGCCACAGGTGGCAAAACGCTTTGCTCTTGCACAGGTCGAGGACGCCGTGGATAAGGCAGAGATCATTTCATTCGGAAGTGTTTGTGCCCAGAACTTAGAACTCAATCTCCCCGTCGTGCTTGTGCACGGCCTTGCAGATGATACGAGTTTCTGACGGCCGTTTGAGGTCTTGATCGCTACTGTATGTTTTCTTCTGTACCTGCCGAGCATCCCGTTTGAACTGGCCGTCGGTACCTCAGTGCTCGTCACAAGCGCTGACCGTTTTCGTGAGGCGCAAGGCGGAAGCTAAATTCTTGTGGTTTCCGCTCAGTCTTTCTCGGTCTACAACCCATCGAACTGGATTGTGAAGATTGCGACATTGGAGAGGCTTTGGAAGGCCTTGATGCAGAGCATGCCAGAGTCTCATCACGCCTGGCCCGTGTGTTATGAAGTCGCCATGTCAGGAGTTTCGTCCAGAAGTTTGGCTGCGCCCACTTCCTGGACTCAATGCATGTGGTAAGATGCACAAGTTTACAGCGGAACAACACAGCTCTTGCCCAGCAAATCAGGTCTTGTCGTAGATGGACTCCTGCTTGCCACGGCCTCAAGCCTGGCCTTGGCTTCGGCCCTTCGACAGCTGCGACAGGTCTTCGTTTTCGATGCCATCTTCTTCGGGCAGCTGGGCGCCCCTTGGGGCAGATGGGATTCCTTGAGTACATGGTGGAGTGATTTCTGGAAGTACGACCTCAAGGACGTCCTGCATGAGCATGCCCGTGAGCAAGCCGTTTCCGAATTCAGAGAGAATCGCGTAGGTGCGGCAGGTGCCACCGAAGCTGACATAGAGTTCCGCTTTTCCCGTGGCTGTTTGGTTCCGGTCAGATGCGAAGTATAGGAGGTAGGGCAGGGGACAAGAGCAAGCCGCCTTGCGGAGCTGTGTCCGATCCTACCTGGCAAAATGGCAGAAGGCATGCGGAATGTGGTGAGCCAACAGATGCCAGGGAGCATTTTAGTAATCGACATTCGAGGCTCCGGAGAGCCAGAGGTTGTCAAGGCCATGAAGGCCCTGATCCAGCACCTTGGCAGAATCGGATAAATGCACACAGCTGCAGCATACCTGGCGCAACGCGGCACCACTAGAGGCGAACCAAGTTCGTTCAAGAGACAGCCGGGCGCATGAGGCTTGGACTTGGGCTTGACTACGGACTACTGCCAGTAGTGCTGTAGAAACGTTGAGCTCAGTGGATGTGACGGCCAGCATCAAAAGTAGGCGAGAGCGCATGGAGTGTTTGCAAGCAGTCGTAGGACAGTTCTTGTGGAGATACACGATTTGCAAGTGGATGTAGTTCGTAGGTGTTCGTTACCACGCTTCGACGAACTGGACATATGACAGCGCACAGCAGCAAACTTGATGCAGGGTGTGGTGCAAAGAGCGATTCACTGCAGACCGCTGGCTGGACGAGAACGAGCGGGAGTGGTGGCCCTTCCAGCTCACGGCAGCTGCGCTTGATCTTTGCTGAAGCGACCCGGGTCGATATTGGAGGTACGCGCTCGATCGACTCTGTCGCTCGAGGCCGTGGGCCACCAATCGGGAGAAGGCTGTGGGAGCTTGAAGCCTTGGTTTGTTCCGGCGTCCGACGGACCTTCTCGATGGGTCTCGATGGTCTCTCTCTCTCTCTCTCGATCTCGTCCCCTCCTTTCTCTCGTCTCTGCACTATGATTTCCCTGTTAGATTCATAGGCTGACATGAGCTCAGGGTTGGAGGGGCAGGCATGGCTAGAGCCCGGCTTCAACAAAGGCATGGGCTATCTTCACGGCTCGTGGGTCGGATGCTCTTTCGATGCATCGGGTTCTTGCCTCCCTACCCAAAACTTGTGGCCGTGGGTCAATGCACTGTGGTGGGCTGGAAACCGCATGCTTGGGTGGTGTGGGAAATGCCAACCGTTCCGAGCAGTCTTTTTCCCACGGTTGCCGAAGCTGCTGCCCTGAGCTCGGTAGATGGTCTTCACAGGTATTATGTCTGTCATGTCAGAGAGCCATGGGCCGGGGAAGCCGCCATGATTAGAATGCCGAGCAAACAGAGAGCAGACTTTGGGCAGCTCGATCAAAGTGACGATCCTCGCACCAACCGACTGCAGAGAGAACTCCCAACCCCGAGCCCGAAATCGATCGTAGTATGCGACACATGAACGGCTTCTTCGGCGGCCGGGAAGGGATGCCTGAAGTGCCGTATCCAAAGGCATTGCAGCGGCAAGCTGAGACGAGAAAGCCCTTGCGATGCCAACGCAGACGAATCGGCCGGATCAGGCGGAACTCTGGGCACAAATTCCCTGCGCTGCCAATGCCGGAGCAGCGGCCGGGCGGATTGAACACGTCGGTCCAGAGTCTAGACAGTGTGCTGAGGTTGGAGGGTGGCAAGTGAACCGCAGCGCGTGCTGTGAAGTATAAGTATCTGATTGGTGCCAGACGGCTCGGGCGTGGCCGCGCAGCCTCTGCAACGCGGTTTGTGCTGTCCGGTGGTGCTCAAAAGGCATGTGGCTGGATCTGCGGCATGCAGCTCGGATTCCTTGGTTGCCAGGAGTCAAAAAAGACATGGAATTCGTCCAAACGGGGCTGGGACTTCCAGGGTCAAGGGCTGGCCGGCCAATCATCGAATCGGGTGGTTGTTTTCTTGGCATGGCTGCTGGAAGCAAAGCGGCTGTGCCCCCGGGCAAATCCATGGAGTCCCGAAGCAAAAAAAAAGGGCTGGCCGGATTATGAACACGTCTTTGGGTTGCCAGGCATGGCAATGACCCCAAGACCGGGACCCGGAGTCCTTTGTAGCCTTTCAGGCGTTTCGATCTCACGGAGACAAAACCAGACTTTGCCGTCCAGCAGTGTGCCCGTGCCCATCCTTGAATCTTTGCAGTCGCAAAAATTACGTGATAGAAGCCTCTGCCATGCACGTTCCGCAGGCGTTCCCGTATCCCTTTCGAATCTCGCCTGCATGTATGCCCTTGCTGCATGGTTGGGCAAAATGAACTGCTGCTTTGCCGTCTTTATCCGAGGCGATGCTACGAGGAGAATGATCAAAGTGGAAGGTGATTGGGTTGGTGGAAGTCGACCTGATATCTTGCCCACGTATCTTGATGGCAGGTGTGTGATAGTCTTGACAAGGTGGCCTGCAAAACACGATGCAGCAAATCAGCTGTGCTAACTCGGACGTGTGACTTGTGCTCTCAGAATCATATGTCATATGACGAGCTTGAGCATGATTCTTAGGGAAGCTCGGCGGCACGGCATCGACTGCCAGGTGCAATCATTGTTTTTAGTCTCGGCAAAAGAACGGCTAAGCTTTGAACATTGCAGTGGTCCCGGTCCGGCATGAACGTGGCAGGTGATCAGCCATATCAATTGCTGCCCCCATTTTCCTCCAGAACATCGCGTTCTGCTTTTCGCCCCCGAGTTCGGAAGTGATCGATCCTTCGACGTGGCGCTCAGCCTAAATCGGCCTAAATGGTAGCAAAATGGGAAGCTCAAGTGAAACCATTGGTAAGTTCAACATATTTGCACCAGTGGCCCTTTCATGATAAATGCTGCTCAGGACATGTGGAGTTTCATCGAGCCAGACGACCAAGTCGATTTGGCCGTCGCACTTTGCCTACATAGAGAGGGCTGAAGTGTGAGTTTTACGACGGTCCAACAAATCCGGGACCGGGAGTTCCGACTACAGTTGGCACTGGGCCTCTTCCTCTCTCTCCCTCGCCCTCCGTCTCCGATCAGGGTGATCAACCGCATTTCAAGAGACCACGAAACAGAAGCACCCGGACACTAAGAAACTGAGACGCCAGGACGCCGAACCAGCCTGACGCCGACGGACCCCGGGAGTGCAGCCACAAACAATCAAACACACCGGGACACCGGACCTATCATGACAGCCAATGACAGCTGGACACGCGATAGGCGCAACACATACCAGCAACAACGAGTTCGCCCGCGAGGGCCCAATAAGTTAGCTTTTGGTCCGAGCCATTCCTCCAAGCCTGGTCGTGTTCCCAGACGAGGTTTGCTGGCAGGGCTGGGCAAGCTTCGATGTAATGCTGAAGCAGGTCTTGGACAAGGCGGGCATTTGTTCGAAAGTTTCTCTGCAGTCGGTTGTCTTCTGCACAGGTTCTCTCCTTCGGTGATGGGGTAAACACTGTCTGGTTTGGGCAAGGCCTGCCCACGAACAAGCCAAGAATTTACTTGCAGATTGTTTCGCTTGTCTCCTCATAAGCAGATGCGAGGTATGGGTGGCATTGTGGCGTATGAATTGTTGAAGTTGCTAGATGCCTGGCAGAACGCACGGGAGATGCTTTCTTAGTGCTCTAGGTTGCCATAAGTTGTTGACTGCGACCTGTAAGGAGATTCAGAATATTCAGACGCCAAATCTGCCTGTCGCACTGGTTGGCGCCTCTATGCACCGTCAGATCCAGAGAGCAGCCAGCAGTCAGCCGATGCGAGTCGCAGAGTCGCCAAAAATCAGGGATGCAAAAATCAAGGATGGGAAGGAAGTTCTCAAAGTCCACTAGCAAGCCTGGAACTAGAAAGTTCGGAAATTTGCGCACTTCAAATCGTAGAATTTCCTTCTTCGTGCTCAAGAGCGTTTGTTTTCGCCCGACAGTTCCCCAAGGAGCGGTCAAGCGTTCACCCTAGAAATTACCTCAATGGTCTCGCATGGCTTGAGACCCGCCCCTCCGAAGGATTGCAAAGCCTGGATTAGAGCAGGGGTGTCAAGCCTTTTCATGCTTTGTCTTGAGAGATCCGATAGCTGGCGTTAATGCAGCCAGTCAACATGTTTCAGATGTGGTTGAGGTCGTTTCTGATTGCCCTGCTCCAGACAAGTTCTCGCAGATGTATCGACCGTGCAAGTCTCAGGGCAACCTTGGGCGAAGTCTAGGACGTGCCATGACGTACCAGTGACACAGAGAGTTTCTTGTCAGCTGCGGTCCTGTGAAACCTTGCAGGTACGATGAGGCGAGTTGGCCTGGCCAGCTCTCCCAGTATGCCGCCGCACGGCAGAAGGAGATCGAGGAGGCGCGCAACACGAACACAAGCATGGAGTGTGATCTTCTCTCGCGCTTGTCTTTTGCAGCCTCCTTGATATTTCCTTCACAGGTTGTGGCGATGATGAAGTCCTACAGGCACGGGCTTGGGGAATGTTCCTAACAAGCTGTACGACTCGATATGGAAAAAGGATGTGCGAGTATGAACCAAAGTCATCGTGACATCTAATCATCTACCTCAATAAAAATGTATTCGCATGTCGCTGTAGCAAAGTCAATGTAATTGAACCTGAGCCCGTGAATCGGTGCCTGGCCTGTGCGAGTGTGCGAGTCGAAATCTACAGGCCTTTCCAGTGAGGGAAGGCAAAGCGTGCGGAAAAATCCTGGCTCAGGCAAAAAACCCTTCAAGGCAGGTGCCTGCAAAAAGGGTGAGAAAGGTCCAGTGCAAGCGCGACTGAGTTTCAACAAGACCTCCTAACTGTAGGGGGAGCATAGCGTCCTGGAAGGCGTCCGGCAACCAGTAGCTCCCTTAGGGACTGCTGGCAGGAGTCCTGCCAAGTCTGATAATTAAGTGCATGGAGCCTCTGGCAGCGGAAAGCATCGAGCGAGAAATCTACAGGCAACATCGTACAGGGTCGTCCTTCTGCGCACTTGGATGCGCTGGACACGGCTACTGTAAACCGGCCGCCAGACATCGTAATTTTCATGTAGGGTTTGTGGATGTCACGGTGCCTCTGTCAAGAGGTACAGACGGATGGTTTTAAGCACAGTTGGACAGCTACCGTAGTCCTCGGTCTCGGACGAGCAAGACAGCCCAGCTTGACCTTCGATGGACTTTCGCTGAGGCTCTCTTTGGGGTCGTCACCAAACCTGAATCCTCTCTTGCTCCTGCCATCTCCGCTGATCCCCCAGGTAGGGCTTCCCGGAGTCGTTTGTTAGAGGTGCTATTGCGAATGAGCTGCCTCCTACAAGTTAAAGAAGGGTTCGTGCAGTCAACTCATCTGCGTCAAAACTTCCCCTTGGGAGGTTCAGGCATCAAGCTCATCGGAGACTGTTGGTGCCGGTAGCCGCCTGCTATCACCCAGGGAGGAGCTCATTTGATGCCGCATCGGTGCAGGCAGTGATTGGACTAGTGCTGGAGCTGTGCAAGACCGTAGGAATCTCTTGTCTTTGGGGGCAGGCGTGGGCCGACTATAGCCACGAACCTGGTTTCTCTGAACTTGACCTCGGTGCAAGCGAGGAGTCACGACGGGAACATGTTAGGAACATCTGGCGCACTTTGCACGATGTGTAGTGGTTCTCATGAGCTAGGAGCAAGAATGGTATTTGGACGGCTTGGGCCCCGCTCTACATCCCGAACCGGCTCTCCTTGGCACGATCAGCAGGAAGCTTTTTTGACATGTGTGGCTCATGTGTGGCAAGTGTGAGTCCGAACGGTGCCCTGCTGAGCCCACGCACATGTGCGAGCCAAGTCTCAACTGCCTGCGGGTTAACGCAGGATGTGCTCCGAGTTCAGCCGCTGGAAAGATGCAGAGTATCCAGATATTGGGCCTGTTGAGGGGCCGATCCCAGAAGAGGTGGACTGCGTGATCGTGGGTGCAGGAATTGCTGGTACGGAGCCCCAGGATCGGCCGCTGATTCAAGAATCTCTCTTGTGCAGAGCCCAGGCATCTATCAAGCAAAAGTAATGAACGAGCTGGGCAAATCTTTGGTGGTTTTCGATAGATACCACATGATTGGCGGAGTCTGGGAGTTCTATGGCAATGAATACTCTCGAGTGAATACGTCTGAGAGGCTTGGCCGGCTTGGCTTAAAGCCTCAAAGCTCCGACGAACGAGGGCAGAAAGCTTGTTGCAAAACACCGCAGCCAAGGATCGGATATCGCGTTCTGGACAAAAAGGGCACCTGGACGCGACCGAACGAGGACCACACACCACGGCGAGACATCATGCGGGACATCTATGAGATTGCCAGCATTCCTGACTGCAGAAGTATGCTTAGTTATGGGTACAGCTAGCTGATCATTTTCGCCAATGTACGTACCCCTCACTCCTTTGTTTCTCGAGGCAACCATGCGTATGGGAAGATCCGATGCAAAACAGATGTCACGAAGGCTACCTGGACGGACGGACGCTCGCAACAGCGGTCGTCCGATGTGCAGTTGCACCAAGGTTGAAAAGCAAAAGGATGGAACCTATTTGGTACAGGCTGCCCGACAGCAGACATCGCGGGACACTCGCCAGCTTTGTCTTGCACAGCTTGACAGCGGTCAGGTGAAATCGCTCACGGGTGGTGCAGAGCGTGTCGTAAAAGCCAAAGCTGCACCTGTGTTGCAATCCCTGTCGCCAGTACTTAGCGGGCCCGCTTCTGCCTAATGCCGTACGTCGTGATTAGTCTTTGACGTCAGACGATAGACTTCGCATGCCCGTGAGGTGAGCTTCCAAGTCAATCGGCGCATTGGCAAGCGGCGCATCGTTGATTGGCAGGCCTTGCAAGATCTTGCAAGTCCGGGTATTTGATGGTATTTGGCCAATGCTTCGCGGTGGCCATAAGCGCCTGGCAGGACTCAGAGAAGTTCAAGGGCATCATTTGCTATGGCGGCTTGTGTGCACCTTCAAGCTTTCAAACACTCTGCAAGTCTCTTCGGGATCCCTGTGGTGAGGCTATGGCAACGAGCCAAAAGACATCGACTTTTGGAACAAGCGGGTGCTCGTTATCGGAGAGGGTTTCGGAACAAGATAGTATGCTTGGTCTGTTTTTGTTGGGGAGTTTTGCTTTCTTGAAGTCGCGACCGGCAGGAGCAGGCGCATTCGCTTTTGAAAACGTGCGGACATCCGTTGAGCATGGCGCACGACATGTCACGCGGTGGCATTAAGAGTCTTTTTTGCTTGTTTGCTTGCTTGAGGCCGTTGTTGGGCTCTATACTCAAGGTGACATTGCTTGGGAGGCGAGACGGGACCACTTGCCCCAAGTGGATTGTTACCTGGCTTTATGGTATTCAGCTCGATGCAATTTTCTGCCCGTTGAGCGGCCCAAGGACATGATAGCTTTCCTTCGTCCAATTGACAGCTCCATGCAAACCAACAAAGTGCCGGACACAGGGCTGAAGCCTGTGCAGAATTTCGTCTCGTCGTGCTGTGCTGCAAGGCTGGAAACATGATCAGCTTCGAAGTATGGCAGAAGTGCTATGAGGCAGCACCGGGAGGTTCTGCAAATTTGCAGACATTCAGCACGCGCCCGCGACAAGCCTGCATCTGCGCCTGCCAGGATGCAGGCATAAGACCGCCCGGCTGCTGGTCAGAAGGACTGCTGCCCTCCGGCTTCAGAATTGCAGAGGATAGCCTTTGGTAGGAGACCTGTCTGTCTAGTTTCAGCGAAATGCAACTTGCACCGGCGCCCAGCTCCAAGGAAACCACACAACCACACCATCTCTGTGCAGCGACCTCATTGCTAGGAGAGCCGATCCAGATGCAGGTAGAAGAGTAAGAGCTGGGCGGGCGAAAAATTCCGGAGGTCCGACCTTGCCTTCATTGGAGGCTATCACGGCCTGGTGGACTTGAGAGTCGGCGAGATTGCACGGATTCGTCTGACACACAAACAGCCAGTGTGGCACGGGCCCTACGTGCCCTGCAGCCGTGTGTTCAGGTCAAGATGGAAGAGGCGTGTGCTTGAAGGATGGCTCGGAGATCGATGTTGGCCACAAACTCAGCTTTGCAAGCTAAGCTCGTCAAAGGCAGTGTTCCTCGCTGGTAAGTCGGGGAAGGGCTCGTCTGCTCAGACATCATCATCAAGTGCACTGGCTTCCATCTCAATGACGAAGTTCCTCAGGCGGTACAGCTCAGTACGGGTACACTTTGACATGTGTATGTGTGATGCAAAGACACACACGCAGAGTGGATGTGCGGTGCTTGTCAGGTCGTGGGCAGCTCCAAGATGCAGTCCTATGGGCTCATCGACTACAATCTCAACTATCAGGCAGCTCTACAAAGCGCAGTTTTGCTGCTTCAACTGCTGCCGGTCTAGTGTCGCGCTTTTGTCGGATGTTTGCCCGGAGATGCGGGGTAGTTCAGAATTTACAGTCACATTCGCAGAGGCCGAGCCTCTCCTCGATCAGGGGCAGTGCCCTGTCCAGAACAGAGGCACGAAAAGCCGTTTCATGCCTCTCCCAGCCGTCTAAACAAGGTTTGGAAGTGCCAAGTCGACAGATGCTGAAGCCGAGAACCCTGCAATGAGAGATCCTTGGCAGCAGTTTGCAATGACCTCGGCATGCTAGCGGCCTAGCCTTTGCAAGGTTTCTGCTTGGGTTGTCTCAGGAAATTATCGAGCTCTACCAGACCAAGGAATTTGTAAGGCCCTGCAGTGCAGTGCATGCGTCCTGGTCTATTCGTGGCTTTGAAGTGTGCGTGAAGCAAATCTCTGCGGCCCTGGAGGGGGTTGGAGCTTTATCGGAAGATCGGATTGGATGAGGCCATTACTGCATTTGCGCGTGAACGGAATGAAAGGCTATGCTGACTTGCCAGCTTGTGGCCGTCACAGGAGCCCTTGAAGCCCCAGGGCAACCCTTTCGGATCCGGCCAAGGAGGTCCCATCGAGACTTGGCTGGCTGTTGCGATCGTGATGTGCCGTGATCGCACGCGTGCGCATACGCATCGCTTCTAGCTTGACGGAACTGGCATACGTGGGTATATACATACACCCTGGGTGCCATGTGTCGTGCCGTCGTGCCGATGTTTCATCCATCTACAAATCTGCTTGCAGCAAGAGCGCCGATGTCAGCCAGATGCCATGCACGAATTCGTCAGTATGGAGATGCACACGCTAGGACAGGGTGGACTGTCCAAGGATTTTCTCTCGTACTACTTCGCATGGTTGGTCGCAGACTGAGACGTGAATCCAGGAGATAGACCCACAGATGTCGGTGAAGTGCATATTATAGATGAAGCATTGGCTGGGCCTGTGGCTGGCAGCCCAAGGTGGATCATCCAGAAGAACAGGCTGGGAAACATGGATGTGGAAAAGGGTTTCCAGGCGTGAAACAGGGATGATGCGCGAAGTGGAAGCATTGAAAGAGAATGTATACAGGCAGCGGGATGGCCTTGGGAAATCAATGAGTATCGGGTGATGAACTCAGAATGTAAGTGCCAAAATCGATTTGTGATGGGATGAAGCTGCCTGCAAGCTAGGTATTCTGTCACCTTAGACTGTCTAACGGGTAGGAGTCCCACGTCTCCCCACGTCTCGCTCTCTGGTAGGCCGCCTTGTTGAAGCACGGCGGGCCCCCATCGCAGGACGAGATGAGAGCGCCCTCAGATCTTCCCACATCCTCTTTATGCCTAGAAACACGACTTCAAGCGCAGTTAAGTGAAGCTGCCTCAGCCCATACGCCAGGCCTTCCCCACCATCCCAAGCATCCTTTCCACCTCCTTGTGACAATTCGCAGGAGATGGTGAAGCTCTGCGCCTGGAGACTGCTTGTCTGGGGGGTTCTGAAACAGTGCTGACCTTGGTAGCGATTGGGCGTTGAGGTTATGGTCCAGCGCGATCGGCCAGAACAACTCCACAACGCTCATGAGGCATTTCGGCAGATGTTGGCAAATAATGGCAAATGCAGCTGCGAATCCAGCCTTCCTAGTGCAGGCTCATATGTGCGCTTGCAGAGCTGGAGGACATTTGACGCAAGTTCTGATGACATGTAAGACAAGTAGGCCACGGTGTCTTTCCAGGCATAGTCAAAACTCTACTCCAGGTTGACCAAAAAGAAGCCAGCCGGACAGCACTTCTATTTCCAGGGCAGGGCTCGCAATACGACGCTTGACCTGCACCACAATTCCTTGAAATCGCCAAGTTTGAGCTCGAAGAGCGCGTGCTGAACAGCCAAGGTGGGAATGCTTGCCAAGTGCAAAGACAAACCCAAAGTGCAGAGCATGATCTCGCGTGCCAATGCAATCGTGGGCTACGATCTGTTGGAGGCGCCAGCCACAGCAGTCCCCAGCCCATCCGAGCCCTATCGTATAGCGCATCGCAGGGGACCCCAACCAAAGGGTGCTCTTCTTGACCCGTGCCGGAAGTGGTCTGGATGCATACGCGCGACCGCGCTTGGTGGGACATGCGGCCGGGCACAGCCCCCGCAGGCCCTGCAGTCGTGATGTTGGCTTCGGGAAGGGCACGCGCCCCCTGCTGGTTTGGCCCGTGGCACTCTTGATAAATCGGGCCCGCCTTGGAACGTTGTTTCGTGGCACGTTCGTCGTTCGTGAGCATATGTCAGCATGAAGCCGGCGAGCAGAAAGTTACCCATGTTCACCTCCACCTCACGGCATGTCACCTCACCTTGCTCCGTCCATGACGCGTTGGCGATTAAGTAGGGAGATCCGGAACGATGCTAGGGGCCAAAGATTCGTGCCTGTGCCAGCACCAAAGGCATGAATACATGTATTCGCTGGGGTCCAGCTGCGCATGAAAGGGTTCACATCTGCCACGGGTGCACTGCTGTATGAGTGATGTCCTGTCAAGTACAAGCCGTGGGCCGTCCAAAGCAAGACCGACTTGGCATGCAGATAGGTATGCCTGCAAGGGCCAAGTGAGAAGCTGGACGAGACCAGTGTGTGCCAGCCTGCCATGTTCTTGGCAGGTGGGAGCTTTGCAATTGCCCAGTTTATTGCTTTGATGGGTTTTTGTGTCGTTCTGGGCAGGCATGGCGGCTCTTGAAGTTTTGCGAGAAACTCGCCCAGACGCGGCAGACAGGCCACAAGCCGTGGCTGGCCTCTCGTACCTTAGCAGCCTAAGAAGTAGCAAATTTTGCGGGATGGTGTAATTCAGACATAGCAATAACTGTGTGAAGTGTCCTGACCTTGGCGGGCGGCCGCCGCAGCAAACACCACAGGATCGCACCGAGAACTGTCCAAAAGCCTCGATGCGGTTGAGGCGAACAAATGGCAGAAGCGAAGAACTGTGAAACGAACTCCGCGAAACTGCGAGGTGCACTTCAGGTGTTGACGACTGGCCAACACAGAGGGGTGGAATACCCCGGCCGGAGCGGACCAGTCGAACAGAAAGCCAGGCTTGGGCCACTGCTTGGACGGGAAGTTCGAGCAAATGCCACAAGCAGAAGCCACGGCGTTCGGAGCTTTCACGCCTTTCCGAGCTATGGGGGACATTTTGGAATTTCCTGTCGCCTCGGCACCCTTTTTTTTCAGTTTCTCAGAAGATGCCAAAAGTGTCAAGCAGCTATGGCTAGATGCCTTTCTGGGCATCTAGCGTCGCATCTAGCGTTGCAATTACTCGTCAAGTTTCAATCGCGCGCATGTCTACTAACCCTTTCTGGCATGTAGAGTATGGGTTGGAGCGGTCCGGTTCCTAGATTGGGGAACCGTTGGCATCAAAGGCTGGGGGAGTACTGTGCTCTCTGTGCGGCTGGAGTCCTGGAGTTCGACGATGCTCTGAAACTTGTCATGATAAGAGGCTCGCTTGTGTCAATTGCTTTATGCTGTGCTTCCTCCTTGTTACAGGGCGCCCGATAAAGCAGGTGCAGCGATGGCCGAAGCTGCTGCGTCTTCGTCACAGGCCTGCCTTTGAAAGCCATCGAATCCGATGCCAGCAGAGCGCGCCTCCAGTGAAGGAGTGGGCTGGGCAGTATTGTGTGCTGCTTACAGCCGCAACAAGCGTGGGTCATCTCCAGGCGATGGTGTCCATTGCTGGCCTGACTGAAGAAGTGGTCGCTGAACTCTGCGAGCGTGCAAAGCAAGCAGCACCTGGAGAGGGTCAAGTCTGCCAGATTGCGAAGCCTGTTTGCAGCCTCAGTGCCTGCAGGATGCCATGCAGCAACACCGAGAGTAAAAGACCACGACTGCTGAACTCAGGAATGTCTTGTTCAAGAAGGGTTTTGCTTGTGCTGGAACAAGACCAGCCGTGGAAAGATTAAGGGAAGCTGCAGAAAAGGAGAAAGCAATGCAGGTGGCATCTCTGTGTTCGACGGAGTTGACGAAACTCATCTGTGATGCAGTGATGCCCCTCGCAGCATCAGGCGAAACTGATCAAGACATCTGGGGGATTCCACACAGTGCCTCGTCACCTCCGGCTTTTTTTGGGAGAGCATGGTGGCCACGAGTTACGGAGCAGATTTCAGATCTTTTGTGTCACGCCTGGGCGGCTGCGACAGCACTAGGACCACACCAATTCAGACGCAGGCAGGCTGAATCAACAGGAGAACCGAAAAACACACTGCCATTACCATCATTCCATGTATCAGGACCAGCAGTTGCTCCAACGCTTGATTTGCTACATCTTTCCGGTGTTGAGTCGTTCACATGTACAGAAGTTTGTAGGATGTGCCTCTGACCATACGGCACCAATTCTGACATCGTTGATTGTGATTCTCCCACTGTCATCAACATAGTTGACTGCAGCGTAGCTGTCTGGTGTCGGTTGCTTGTGAAGCGTTGGTGCTCTTCTTTCAACGAGATGCTAGATCACCTGATGCCCATGGTGTTCCTGAAGGCTCTTTCTAGTGTATGTCGCTCCGAAAATAGAGCTAGCAAAACGCAAGGGTCTTTTCGACCCCCTTGCATGCTTACACACATATGTGCCTGCATGCCTGCAAACATACATCTCTTCATGCATCCGTCCATCTCATCCAATCTCATCCATCCGTACATACATACACACATACATACACACATACATGCATACGTACGTACATACATACATACATGCATGCATATGCAGGCGCACTTTCACTTGCACACGCACGCGCACACACTGAAGATGTGTTGTCTGCACTCCCGGATGGATTCCCTCAAGGGGATGTTACACAAGATAACTGTGTCAGCTAGGTCGTGCTTGTAAAACCGTACACGTGAGTAAACGCACACTCTGCAAGACTGAGGCTGACGCGGCGACGCGTGTCAGTTACATGTGCACAGCGCTTGCATCACAGGATGGACCCATGTACAGCATACGATAAAGATGTCACAAGCTTTGTTGCAGGTACAGGAGCAAGCGTCCTTGATCCCTTCTCACCTTTGTCAATAGCTTTGTCGCGTGCCGTATGCCAAAGGTGCTGCACGCCCCTGCTGAAATTAAATCGCAATGAACAAAGGACCTGGCTTCCTAATGAACGTCGGTTGCACGGCAGTTGGAGAGTGACCTCCCTAAGCCCATCCATGAACGAGGAGCGTCCACACACACACACACACACACGCGCGCGCACACATACACACACACACACACACATCCACGCACACACAAACACAAACACACATACGCGTACACTTGCGCGAACTGTACATGAGTGCACATGTAAACATGCGCAAAGTAGTGTTGGTGGAGGTGGTGGCGGCGGCGTACGTGCGTTCCCGCTTTGGTGGTGCAAGGGACGGCTTGCCACTAATGAGCATCTACTAGCAAAACCTTTGTTTGAAACAGGACAGTGCTTTTGGCCATGTTATTTTCAAAAAACGTCGAGCATGCACAACGCAACCTTGAGCGGTCGAGATTGGCCAAACCATCCAACCAAGGAGCTGATGAAGCCTGCGCAGAAGACCTTGAATGCAGCTTTAGAAAGCGTAGCTTCCAGAATGAAGCCGCCGAGATGCGACGTGCCACTCAGAAGATTCAGAGCATGTTCTCACCTTGTTCATTTCTTTGTCACTCTTTTTGTTCTTGCTCCTTTTGCCTGCGGGCGGAGTTGATCACTTGGCGATGGCCCAGGTACATGAATGCAACGGGGCAGTTGCTTGGCCCGACTGAGAGGGTGCATGGTAGACTGAGCCTTACATTGCCAGTCAGGAAAGTGGCAGCAGGCACGCCGCCGCAGGACAGCACTGAGCATCATCACGTCCAGAAGGTGTCGAGAAGCAACGATGCGAAAGGAGATCATGCCGCTCCTGTCGCAGCAGCTATGCTCCCGAGTACTTTGGGAGCCCAGCATGCAAAGGACGGGAATGAGCTGAAGTTGCAATTCTCGCACTGCTCCAGGGATAAGACGTAAAGCGGTTCTGTGAGGATGATCGATGATGGAGTTGAGGAGTTCTACGAAGTGGGTCCTGACAAGCAATTGAACCTTGAATCCAAGCAGTGTCGACAGGCCAGGCGGTCGTATTTGTCGATCAGTAGTTGCACGTCAGCAGCTACTATGCGGCGTCCAGGAATGCATTGTAGGTGGGACGTGTGTGATGATTTCGTCATGCGCTGAGGAAAGCAATGATGAAACGGATCGATCAAAGCGCATGGAGCTGCACAACAAACGTGGAGATCTAACCGTCTGCTGCTTTGTGTCTCCATCTTGACCAACCTACTACCCATGCAGCGCCAGCACTTTCAAGGAGGTGCTCTAGCAGCATGGCATGCTGCAGCGCCTTTTCCAGTGTGTTGCTTTACAGTCCAGCCATTCGGCTACTGATCAATGCAGATCTTCATCAGCTGCTGCTCTAGGTGGTGATCCTGGCGTGCGGCACGACTACACGTACTGAGATGGTCTTTTGCTGCGGCTTGCAAGTGCAGCGAGCTGCAGAGTCAGAAGTTGCAGCCAGACTGCCCTGATACTCGGGATGCGCAGACGTCGCATGCCAGCTTGAGTGCGGACCTTCTGAGTGAGACGGCATTGACTTGTGAAGGGAACAAGCAGCAACGGAATTTCCGTGTGTGTCTCATACTCGCTGAGAGCCTCAATGGTTGCTCGATGCTGGGGGCTGACAGGAGATTCCTTTCAACCCGTGGATCATTTGGCGGTTTCAGGCCTTGCAAGCAGGTTTTGAACTTCCATGCAACTTTATCGCAGGTCTGTCCACAGCAACGCATGCCTGCTGTTGTGTTTCGAATTGGCAGATTTACCAGATGTGACAGGTCATGCTCTATGCAGCCGAGCTGGCGACGTGCATGCCTCAAGCATCCGTCATAGCAGGTCCGAGAGACCTGCTCGCTTCAGGCGATGGTTCGGCAACAACTTCGTTTCAGGCGCCGTCTCATTTCCGCGTCATGGTGCAAGGAGGACGCCGCGGCATCTCGTATCTGTATCTCTCAGGTTGTATTCCATCTGAGGCCGAGGAGGCTGGGGACCTGGCAAGACGGACATGCCAAACCTGAAGCCTAGCCCTGCAGGCTGTTTATGTCGTACAAGTGCAAGACATGCTGCCGTGCTCTTACATCAACCGCAGCAGCTTATCTTCATGCCCCTTTTGCCACAACAGTGTTCGCACGTGAACCGTGCTGGTTATTGCACGCACGCACACGCACACGCACTCGCCTGACCCTTGGCATCGCATCCCTAGTCCAATGTTCTGGTAACCTGGTAGGGGATAGAGTTCTCGGAGTGATTGGTGTAGTCGAAGTAGACGAATCCAAGCACAGACCCCTACCGCCATGCCACACACACACACACACCTGCTTGATAACAGAATCAGGTCAGAGCTCAAACATACTAACCGAGATGACCGATTCCTATCGCTGTGCTCAGAAGGACCAAGCCAGCAGGCACTGGATGAGCATTCCATAAATAAAGCTGTTGACGGAAGAGTGTCATGGCATGACGCGCATGATGCACTATGCTCATACCCACCAGCGGTCGCGATGCGACCCAGGTGCGGTGTCTCGTTGGGTTTTCGGCTCGTTCTATTTGGGCTGCGCCTCATTAGTGGAGACGCCTTCAAGAACTTTGCTGGTTAGTGCACGTGTGCACCTTGTGACAAGTAGAGCGAGCACAGCTGCTGCTTGCAAGAGTCCTGGATGCAAAAAGAGCGAGCACAGCTGAACCTGTCAGCAGAGCTGTGCCTCTCGAGCTTTCCCGTTTTCTTTTAGCAGGACCTGTTAGTATTGCCTGAGCCGCCATGGCAGAGGA